TGGGTCACTTTAGTATCTATTGGATACCTTTACTAATGTTAAGGAAGACACCCACGCTTTTCTTTATAGTTATTTAAATAGTAGTCTATAATTTATTTTCTACTTTTTAGTGCATCATTACATAAAAGCTTGTTATTAAAACGTTTTTTATGAATTTTTTTTCAGTACTTTACATGTTTTATCTACAATAGAGTTACATGACTAAAAACCATTGCGCGCCTACTGAATATCACGTTCAGTAGGCGCGCAATGGTTTTTGAACGCAGCCATTACGTGGTCGTGATGGCGCAGCTATTGATGACGCGTGTGGTGTGGTTGGCTAGACATGCCTACTAATTCGGTCCAAATTTTAATTAATTCATAAAAAATCAATTAGGCATCCGATTAAGTCAAATTTAGTTTCAGATTGCATTGTCTTCATGTCTTGACCCACGTGCCAACAGTGAATCGTGTCGGTCAAGTAGAACTGTCCGAATTTTCACTCCTGCGTTTCCGTCTAGACTGACGACAGACAGAGGAAGTGAGTTAAATAAAAGCTTGTAAAAAAATTTAATAAAAAACGTTTTAATAACAAGCTTTTATGTAATGATGCACTAAAAAGTAGAAAATAAATTATAGACTACTATTTAAATAACTATAAAGAAAAGCGTGGGTCACTTTAGTATCTATTGGATACCTTTACTAATGTTAAGGAAGACACCCACGCTTTTCTTTATAGTTATTTAAATAGTAGTCTATAATTTATTTTCTACTTTTTAGTGCATCATTACATAAAAGCTTGTTATTAAAACGTTTTTTATTAAAAAAATTTTCAGTACTTTACATGTTTTATTTACAATAGAGTTACATGACTAAAAACCATTGCGCGCCTACTGAACATCATGTTCAGTAGGCGCGCAATGGTTTTTGAACGCAGCCATTACGTGATGGCGCAGCTATTGAAGGTGATGACGCGTGTGGTGTGGTTGGCTAGACATGCCTACTAATTCGGTCCAAATTTTAATTAATTAATAAAAAATTAATTAGGCATCCGATTAAGTCAAATTTAGTTTCAGATTGCATTGTCTTCATGTCTTGACCCACGTGCCAACTGTGAATCGTATCTGTCAAGTAGAACTGTCCGAATTTTCACTCCTGCGTTTCCGTCTAGACTGACGACAGACAGAGGAAGTGAGTTAAATAAAAGCTTGTAAAAATAAATACAGGCGTAAATATTTTTTCTACATCTTTTTGAAAATTATGAATGTATGTGAATTATACGAAAGGTAAAAACCAAATGGCACTATGGCTTGAACTAACTGAAACAAAGTAAAAAAAAATATGTTTCAAGCGTTGTACAAAAGAAAGCCGGTATGATGATGTGTAAGAAATGTGCAATGCCAAATGACAATCTGTTTCAGTCGTATTGCCTTTGACAGTGTTTTTTTTTTTTTTTTTTTTTAACTTCCCAAGCTCCAAGTTATATTGATGTTATATAGCCTAAACTACATGAAACTATATATCGCGCTAATGTTTTGTTTAGTGAACCGAAATATTGGCACACATGTGATAAGATATCTTATTGATTTCAACGGTCGTGTTTTGAAATTAAATAAATGAAACCTAAAATTTAAGGACTGACTGATTTGTGACGTGTGCAAAAAAGGTACGGCATCGCAATTTCTCAGAAATAGTTTGCGCACATTTTTTCCTTCTTGATTTAATTTTTGTTATCTGGCGTAGCTGCATATTAAAGGTTGTCATGACCTATTTTTAACGCTTCGTATATAATCGCATATAAAGAATTTTCTTTCAAAAGGCTTAATCATCCGTGTTAGAAAAAAATACTTCCATTTAATATTCAAGTCACATAGTGTATTAGGGTTGAAAGAATTATAAACGGAGTAATGTAATAACACAGTTTAATTATATATATATATATATATATATATATATATATATATATAAAAGAATAACAGTAAATAAAATAACTACTAGCTAACTTTTAATTTTGATTTAAACGAGAAAATAAAACAAACCCTCTGTTTATAGTTAAAGTGTTGATCAATAATGATAGCCTATTTTCTGACACATTTTAGCGAACAACACGTTTAATAAAGAAGGAAAGCTTTTTTTTTTTTTTAAATTTATTTACAGCGCATTCAAACACTTCCTATTCAGGGGTTGACTGGCTAGTTGGTAGACACCCCAACTATGGCTGTAATAGCTCTGTTTGTGTGAATAATTTACTTTGTGTTAGTATTTCTACATTTTATCGTTTCCACTCCTTCATACCGGGGCGTAAGCAGAGTTTCCTCCAGTCATCTCTTCGGGGGAGGGGCGAAGAAAGTCTACCGCTTCCCCCCCCCCCCCCCGAACGAAATGGAATTTATATAGAAAATATATACTTTTGACAGCGCCCCCCCCCCCCGCGAAAATTGTTGTCAGCCCCCCCCCCCTTCCCGAAAATTTCAAGTGCACCCCCGGAGAAAAAAGTCTGGAAGAAACACTGGGCGTAAGATTAGACCTAGCTGGAGAAACAACGACATTGAAGAATAGGGGGAGGGAGGGGTAGGGTGGCCCCCTTTTAAAATTTACAGAGCCTCTTGGGCAAAGACATTCCATCACATGGGTTTTTATTTGCTCTTTTTTTTTTAATTTTTAATTAGTAATAGGTTATTAAAATACAATAAATTAGTACATTGATACTAAAGGTTTCATTATGTCAAACCCAACGACAAGAAGCTAGTGATTCTACAAATAGCTAGTGATGTGATCCTACAAGTATCTAGTGATCCTACAAGTAGCTAGTGATCCTATAAGTAGCTAGTGATCCTACAAATAGCTAGTGATCCTACAAATAGCTAGTGATCCTACAAGTAGCTAGTGATCCTACAAGTAGCTAGTGATCCTACAAGTAGCTAGTGATCCTACAAGTAGCTAGTGATCCTACAAGTAGCTAGTGATCCTACAAGTAGCTAGTGATCCTACAAGTAGCTAGTGATCCTACAAGTAGCTAGTGACCCTACAAGTAGCTAGTGATCCTACAAGTAGCTAGTGATGTAATCCTACAAGTAGCTAGTGATGTGATCCTACAAGTAGCTAGTGATCCTACTAGTAGCTAGTGATCCTACAAGTAGCTAGTGATGTGATCCTACAAGTATCTAGTGATCCTACAAGTAGCTAGTGATCCTATAAGTAGCTAGTGATCCTACAAATAGCTAGTGATCCTACAAATAGCTAGTGATCCTACAAGTAGCTAGTGGTTCTACAAGTAGCTAGTGGTCCTACAAGTAGCTAGTGATCCTACAAGTAGCTAGTGATCCTACAAGTAGCTAGTGATGTGATCCTACAAGTAGCTAGTGATCCTACAAGTAGCTAGTGATCCTTATTCAGAAAAACATTTATCTGCCCTATTATTAACTTCCGCGATCGGCAGACATTGTGACCAAAGAAAAATTATAAAAATCTTCGTCTTTCTTTGTGCATAACTTTCCTACATTGCATCGTCATCTCAAACTAATGTATACGCTTGGTTGTTTTTACCTAATTGTTCCATTGGAAAAAAAATCTAATCATACGACATAGTAGATAAGTTTATTAATGTATTTTCAATTTTCTTCTTTGGTCAAAGAGAAATAACCAATTTAAATGTAAGTAGTTTTTTTATTTGTGTTAATTCCCTTTGATCAATGTGTACTGGATGGTACAAAATAATTAAGATTCATTAGAAAACAATGTTTGTATAATTTGTTTGCTTTATTATTTATAAAAATATGGTAGTCTGTCGTTTTAGATAGGTAAAATCGAAATCGTCCCAGGTTAGTAATGTGAAATAAACCGGGAGTGATCTCCCCTAAACTTTCTCGAATATTCTTATATAAAATAACAGGGGATGGGAACTCGGGCTATAGACATGATTTTTAATCCATTTTAAATACTTAAAGTTTTAAAAATAGAATAAAATCTCGTAGACAAATTAATTGCACACCAAGTGAAAGCCAAATAAAAAAGCGCATAATAGTGCGCAATATTATTAGTACTTTTAAAATTTACATTAGTTTTTTGAGAAATCGGAAGTTACGTAAATTACTACTTTCAGTCAACGGAAATTACTCAAAATTTTACAGAAGGTAGAGAATTAGATCTTTTACTTACATGTGAAATTTCATTTATCTATCTGAAATAGTACTCAAGTTATAGGCTTTTGAAAAATTCAAAGTAGGAAAAGTACCACTTCCGGTTATCGGAAATCGCTCAAAAGTTGATACGGATCTACGATTTTGATAAAATACTTATATATGAAATTTCATCAACCTAGCTGTAACGGTACTCAAGTTATCGTGTTTACACACGGACACACAGACACCCAGACACACACACAGACATACGGACAAGATTGCAAAATTATGTTTTTCCGTATCAGTGAGGTGTAAAACGTCGAGATCTGTAAAAATCTCGATTTTTTTTTGCACGATTACAATACTTTCTCTATACTTCGTATATACGAGAAAGTAAAAAAGGGTGATTCATTAAATTTTTGTAATTTTTCATATTCATAGGAGGATTTGTGTTTTAAAAATTACAAAAATGCATCATAGTTTCATTCGTGTACTTGTTTTTCAACATGTTTATTAAAACTTTTTAATAATAAATAAAGATTAACGATGCTTTCATTAGAACGTATCTACTATATCTAGATATCTAGATCTATTCTGTCATATCCATTCTATGAATCTATGTTATATCCATAAATAAATCGGCCTATTATCAAGAAAATTTTAGCAAACCATGGTATATGCCTATTAACTCTTTACTCCAATATTTTTAATGTAGTTATAGTAGCCTATAATTTCTATAAAATTTTATTTGGATCAAGAGTTTTTTGGCTGAAATAAAATGATTTAATATTTGTATTTTTTATTTACGGAATATAGCCCACTTTCGTTTTTAAAATCTCGCGATAAGAAACGAGCTTTTTAGCAGATACCGAGAGTAGAGCAATCCTCGGACCCCTCTACTGACAATTGAGGTTTTCAGATCCTATAAAAGCAAGTGGCAGCCTTACCATATTTGCGGGTTCTTATAACCCGCCACTTCTGCGTTTATATCATCATAACGTCATATCAACGAAAATGAGCACCGCCGGTCAAGTGGTGAGTGCTATTTAAGTTGGATTTAAGCAATAATTTGCCTACGTATGTTAATTTAAAACAATAACTTTATTTTTACATGATTTCTACCAACAGACTACAGCGCACTCATTTCGTTTCGTTTATTTGTGACGTCATTAATCTAGCTAGTAAGTCAGTCAAGAAAAGTAGATCTAGATCTAGACAAGACTTCACTTACCTAGACTAATGGTTAAAGTCTACAGACTACATTTTTACATGTAGATTCTAGATCTATATCTTAGAATCTTGAAATTTAGGCATATGGGTGGGGGAGGAAGAGGAATTTTCTAATTGTCACAATGGTAAACCAGAGTAGGTAGATCTAAGCAGTCTGATTGATTCAAAAGACAGAAAGATGGATTAAAATTGAATCAATAAAATAAATTAAATAGGCCTTCTTACTAGATTCTCTAGATCTAGAATCCCACACAGTAACAGTGGCACTGCTTTCAAATTTAGTCACCTTTCTAAGCAAAGTGTTCTACAAAGTAAATCTAGATCTAAATTATTGACTAGATTAAAAATAGGCCGATGCTAGCCGGAAAAAGATACGCATGCACAATGGAGAGAAACGCTTGCCATTGCGGCGATGTTTTCGATGGTACTGTGCATGCGTGTTTACAACCGCAGAACCCTAAAACCAACCCTAAACCTAGCCTTAGGTCATGCGCAGAGCTATCTTTTGCCGACTAAGTGGATACGTTGGGGAGAAAAATCTTCTTCCGAGTAGTCACTTAGTTAAAAATATCTAGATCAAGCTGAAGGTGTGTTTGCTACATCAGTGTCTGATAATGGCACTATCTATATAGGCCTAAATGATAGAATCTTTTTAAAAAAGGGGTTATTGGTGTATGTGTAGGTAAATGTATTGGTAGTTAAGTAGATAAATCTCTATGGCTTTCTAATGTCGATAATAAATCTAATCCTACCATACTCCAAATTTACCCCAACCATAAAACTAGACTACAATACTGTAACTGTATTGGTATACCCAGTTATATGGTGAAACTTTAAAAGCTAAAACTTAAAAAGTAAGCTCCCAAAAAACAAAATCCACACACCAATTCAATGTCCATTTTTATTAGGCCTACTTGTGGAGATATTATAAAGAAAAGTAAGGAAATCCCATCTATTTGTTGCATTTTCCTTGATCAGATTGTTAGACTAGGTGAGACTGAGCAACAGACTGATACCATTATCTGTGCATTAAATATGGTGAATTGAGACCATAGTACTTGAAACCTTACACACACACACAGAGGCTTAGTGACCCCTCCCGGGGTCCAACTTTCTATTCGGCATGTAAACCCCCCCCCCCCCCCCCCAAATAAATTTTTTATATTTATAATTCAAAACTGCAGCTTTAATTTTTTCCAAACCATTTTGGCGCCCCTAGTGTTGGCGATGGGGGAATGTACTGTCTGCCCCCCCCCCCCCCCCCCCCAAATCACTTTGTCTCTACACACACAAACCCGTTACTAAAATCAACAATTTAGTTGTTATTCTTTTTTTCTGTAAAATTGGAACTATTGCAATTGCACGTCTCACACTTAAGAAAGGTAATTAAGTTACATTACTTCAGTTTACTAAATTAGGACAGATTTTACAGTACAAATCATTGTTCCCTTACCTCAGTAGTGTGTGCTATGTACTCTCTGTTACTCACATAGAAGTATAAATGGATGGGGGTCACAGTTGTGATTTTGTTGCTCTCCTGAAGAGTACAATTATTAACATGCACTTGGTATTTACGGAGGTGAAAAATGGGGAGAAGAGAGCAGCAGGATTAATTCCTGTTTCATCTATTCACTGCAGAGCTAAGAAAGTCACAAATTACATAAGACACATCTTCTGCTTGTCCATGATTTACAACAGCTGTGGTGGTTACCTCAGAAAGTAGATTGATTGGGGTTGGTGTGCGGACTACAGATACCTTACACCCAGCTTCACCTTATATATACATATTAGGTGTTGTGGGTGCTTTCTACAAAGAGTCTTATATCCAATGAATAAGTCATTGTAAATTATTGCACTGTTTTGACAGGGTTGGGAGTTAATTAAATGGTCTTTAATGCCAACAATAGGTTGATAACATTGGTGTTTAGGTAGTTCAGATTAATTGCTGATGTTGATTTATATTTCTGTAATCATTCAGACTTTCTTGGCTTACATACTTTGGTAAGATTCTGTTTCTTCATCAGCACAAGTTTAATCCATTTGAAAACCTTTAGGTCTAAGAAGGAAAATAATGTAAAATCAGATTTAGTACTGATCAAAGCATGTTGGAAGCTTTTAATTTTTGCTAATATCATGAACTGGATGAAATCTAAAACTCAACAAGATTCTGTTTTGTACTCGTGATAGTTTTATTAGGGCCTTAATTTTTAGAATCTCCCTTTGATTAGCATTGAAACCGGTTTGGTTCATAATGAAATTTCCAGTCACGATCAGTATTTTTTAAAGTAGTAACTTGTTGATTATATTATATAGAGAAAAGCTTAATATGAACTATTGTTTCTATCTAGACAAAGTTATACCATACAGTGGTAGAGGATGTCATCAATAATGTCAAGGAAGCTTTTCTTGATGAAAGTGTTGATGAACAAGTTTTACAGGAGCTTAAACAGGTACTACTAATGTTGACATGGTTTGGCAGCTCATAGGAATTCTAAGGAATAGTTATATATTTATATCTTCTACTTTATAATTTATCCATCATGTTAGATTGAGGCTATTTTTATGTCTGCTTGTAGCTTTGGGAGAGCAAACTTGCAGCATCAAAGGCTTTAGAGCCCCCAGAACAAGATCTGACCATAAAACAACACGTTTCTACAATATTGCCTATGCAGGCTCAAGCCCAAAATGAACAAGGTAGGTTACCATGATACAAGTTAATAATTTTATTTGCCACTTCAAACTTATTTATATGTTCTAGCTATTTATAATTATTTTCTACAGTTGATTTTGCTTTCTTTGAACATTTCAGTTTTAGCACAGCCAAATCAGATTCAGACTGCACAGTATCAAGTAAGTGACTTCCATTTTTACATGAATTAGTCAAATGATGCTTTCATCAAGTTCATCAAGTACATTTAAAAAAATATATATTGCTTTCATAGTGGTTTAAATCATGTTATTATTTTTCCAGATATCAACACCCTCAGGTGCAATGTCCCTTCCTGCAGGTTTGTTTCAACAACAGGTTGCAGCTCTCAGACCCGGTCCAGGTGGTCAGTTTCATAATGTCACAGTTCGTCAGACAGGTACTATATTCATGTTCAGACATCTTCACTTTTGTTCCATATAGGTTTTTTTAATTTAATACGAAGATTAACCAATTTTGTCTCTTAAAATGTCCAAAACCTCTTGAATATCTAGGTATTGTCAACTAAGTTGAGTACCTGCATTTTAGATAAGATTTTATCATGATTATACACTGGATATATAATTAGCTGAATCTTAATGCTATTTCCTTCCATTATTGAGAATAAAAGTTTAAACAATTTAGCTGGAGATCATATTTTCTGTTCATTATATACAGTACCAATGCTTTCTTAACTGAATATTCAGAGTATGTGCTGTAAAGAGTTACATCCATGCATTTAGGGGAAAAATTTATCCATCGTGGTGCTTAACCCACTTACACTTCAGCTTGTAAACAAGATTAAAAAAGTTTTAAAATTATCTATCTTGCCTGTGTGTGAGATCACTATCTGGTATATTTTTCCTTATAGGCACTGGTCAGTACATCATTCAACAACCCCAGCAGCTGGCACAGTTCCAGCAACAGGGACAGCAGTTGGCCCAGGTGATCCAGCAATCTCCCCAAAATATCAGGCTGCCTGGCCAGCAACAGATTATAGTCACACAACAACAACACCTCCAGCTACAGCAGCAACACTTACAGCACCAGCACTTACAGCAGCAGCAGAAGCTCTTGCAACAAAATCAAATGCTCCAGCAAAACCAGACAACATTACCTTCAAACGTCAACAAATCTCAGGGGGTAGGTGCCTGACATTTAAAAATGCTCATTCTAATTGTAAATGCCCAATGTCATCTTGTGTTATTCCATAGTTTAACACTAAATAATTACTCAGTCCTCGTTGCTCCTCAACCATACCCTTCCATTTTGCACTATCCCCGGCTTTTAATTTTCCAATCTCCTAAGACATCCCTGTTGTCTTCAGTTCTTTGAAAAGACTTAGACTCTGGGTCTGTCTTGTAGCCCCTCACTTACGCTTTTTGGGGGGGTTCCACTCCAGCCAGCACCTGGCGTGTCACAATTGAGTGAGCCTTTTGCTGTGTGTAGTGCTAAATAATGTTTCGTATTTAAATATATTGTGGGCCGTTTTAAAATACTTAGTAATTAATAAAATTATATATACATCTAGGTAAACACCATCTGAAAGAAAAGAATGTATGTAAATAGTTTTTTTGCCTAATTTCATACACATATATCTAAACCATTTGTTCTATTCTTGTAATTTTTTTACAGGGTATTCACCAAACTTTAATACAATTAGATGGTAACTGTGACACTAGCTCTTCAGATGATGATGATTTTGATGATGATGACAAAGATGAAGATGATGAGAAAGAAGAAGAAAATGAAGAAGAGGAACCAGGTGAAAAGGAGGTAAAATTCTTAAAATAGAATTCCTTAATGCTTAAAAAGATGATTTGACCTTGTAGCTGGACATACATTTTTTTGTATAACTTTTGTCCTAGGATTCCCTAAACTCTGGAGATGATGTTAGTGAAGATGACCCCACAGAGTTATTTGATACAGAAAATGTTGTTGTTTGTCAGTATGATAAGGTCAGTCTGGGTGTTGGTCATTTTATAATATGAGAGTGCATTCTGTTTTTAACTGGTCTGTCAGTTGATAAACTTTTCCATAATATTCATAAAGTGAAAATTTGTTGTTTGAAAAATCAAGAATTGATGCATTTTGGTTGGCAAATGATTTTGACGCTTAATATGTATTTCAAATTTTTCCAGATCAACAGGAATAAAAACAAGTGGAAATTTCACTTAAAAGACGGAATCATGAATCTGAATGGTAGAGACTTTGTATTCCAGAAAGCCACAGGTGATGCGGAGTGGTAGCATCTGTGGTGTGTGTGCTGTCTGGCTGGTCATGTATTTAACTTGATTGTGGGGGCATGCCTGGATGTGTGACTGTGTGGCCCTATCAGAAAGGGCCTGGTGAGAATGTGGGTGAAATTGTGAGGACTCACACAATCAATTTGTGATACTTGCTGATTAAGAGGCTTTTGTTTTCCTGTTTGTTTTTTTTTTATTTAAAAAATATTGCCATGTTAACGCTCTAGCAACATTTGTTCCAGACATTTTGGTTTGATACACTTGTTCAGGGTTAAGTATAGGTTCTGTTTTTCATGCTTTTTACTAATATGTAAGTGAAGTATATTTTGCATATTGTCAGAATTTCAAACAAATTTCTTTGCTTTAATTTTCTTGTTGTTGCTTTATTTTTTTTCATCTTAGCAAATGTTTAAAATGAGAACACATCATTCCATGTTACTATTTCCATGGATATGGATCACAGTTATAAATATAACTTGGTACTCATCTTTGCCACTATTCTGTTGTCAGTTCATATTTCTTTGTTGAAAAAGAGTTTTGTACACTTATAATAACAATGTAATAGTTGTTATATTGATAGTTAGTGTTAATTTTTAAAATAATATGGCCAGTATAAGCTGCAGTAAGCTTATTTCTTGGTGAAGGGGTTTCTTTGTGACCTGTTTTAAATCTTGGTTTTCTTGAATGTTTTACTGGTGGCTTCTTTGATTAATGTAATAGCTGATTGTGATATTGATTCAATCAGGTGCTAAGTGGAGTGTTTTGTGTAAGCCAGTTGTAAGTGGAGGCTGGTAGTCTTTATGTTAGGATGTACACTTTGGATGGAGACTGATGTTTGTGTAAGAAAACCTGAGTTGGTTATATTGTTGCTGTAGTAAAATACTGTTAGGCTATAGCCTTTTGTTTAATGTTCAATATTGGCTGGTGAAAGATGTTAAATCACCATAGTTAAGACTTGAGAAGGTTATGAGGTGGTAATGTTAGGATGTTTTAGTGTTGACTGGTGTTAGATTGTGATGGTAGGTGTTGTTTGTATCTCCATGATGATATATGAAATATATTACATTTACATGAGTCCATTAATAAATTATTGCATTTATGACTTTTTTATAAATACTTTTCATTCTTTGTTGTCTTGTATATGTAATCATAATACTGGATTTATTGTTTAATAATACAGCTCTTCATCTTGGCTGCCCTTACAAGTTATATTAATAGATCAAACTTGAGTTGCGCCGTAACTCAAGGACCATTACTACTGACTGCCAAATGTTTGAATTATATATAGCTTTAAGTAGAATACTGATGAATGTTTTAGCCCGTTTTGCATTCTAACTAAAAAGTTTTTTTTTAATGGAGAACAAATCATAAAGAAGGGGAGGTAACATTTAAATAGCTGTCTACGTATTTATCTCCCTTGCAATGGCTAATTAACTTTCATTACACAGTGCTTTTTGGAACTGAATTTTTATACCCAAGTACATTTCGTATATTCTGTAATTGGTATATGATTACGTTTGTCATGAATGACCAACCTACAGCTGCACGCTTGTTCTATATGGTAAATTTTCCCGTCGTTCTAAGTTGTTCTCTTTTCTGATGTTAATCATTGCAAGTTCATACTTTTCCCTAAGTCTAATATTGTGTGATAGGTCTTTATTGATAAAGGAACAAATATTTCTATAACAGCACAACACACTTCATCAAGATAACACATCACATAAATAATAAAATGGCTCCATAATTTTACTGACGTTGACGACAGACATTTTTTATTTACATTTTTTTTTTAAATGTGGGAAAAACAAACAAAATAAAAATTATTTTACAGCAACAAATCAGTCATTAGATATAAGGTAATTTTACAAGTTAGTATTAATGAAATTGGTTCATATTAAAAGCAACATTTTACTTCATTCAAAATGCACGATCGGCATTATAGTGTATTGTTCTGCTAAGAGGTGCAAAGGTATCATGGGCGCCAGCAGGATTTTCTCCACGGCAAAGGGGCGGGGGTTTATTACCCCCCCCCCCCCCCCCCCCCCCTTGATCCAATAGGAGAATCTCAAGACGTTACGATAAACATAATTATTATGTCGACTATAACTGTAAGCTGAGTGGCCCGAGCCTATTAAACCTTCAGTGTAATTTAAACTGAGGCTAAACATTTTTTTCTAATTATTTTGTCATAATGTGTAGTTTAAAAAAAATAATAATGTTGAGCTGAAAATTGTAAACCCGACTCAATAGGGCTAAACAATTTTTGTGTTCGTTGATAGGAAAAGGAAACCAAAATTATGGTGATGTCTCATGGTGATAAATGTGTAAGGAAAGCGCATGCGCAGACAGACAGAATGATGACGGAAAGCGGTATAAACAAAGTTTGCAAGTCCGGAACAAATAAAATGGGAAGGCATTACCAATGATCGGTGTGGTTTTGTAACTTTAGAACAAAACAGTTTCTGTCAGCCTTCCTTCAAGATTTGAATCATTGGGGTCAGTTTTATGTGGATCTTAAAAAGACAAACCGGCAAATCTTGCAGTAAAAACATTGTCAATCAGGTTGTAGTTCAAATAACATTCATTCAGTCACATCACCAGTGGCGTAGGCAAGAGAGGGGGGGGGTAGGGTTTATAACCCCTCCCATGGATCCCTATATATATATATATATATATATATATATATATATATATATATATATATATATATATATATATATATATATATATATATATATATATATATGTATGTGTATATATACATATATGTATATATATATATATATATATATGATTGTATACATATGGAAAAATGTTTGAACCCTTCCCATGACCAATTCCTGGCTACGCCACTGCACATCGCAGTCACTGTGTCAGGTGGAATATAACCATAACATGTACATGTTATATAAACATATACAAACAGACATTCACAAATATAGGCTAAATAACTATCGGTCGATATATAAAAATTGGTAAATGTAATTAGATCAAAGCATGTGTGTAAAATATTTTTTTTTTTTTTAAATCTGGGTCTACAATAAAAATAAAATTAGGAGTAGTGTTTTTTTTTTCTTTCTCACTAACCCTTAGGCGAGTCACTTTGACAAGACACTGAGTGATTATATCTTTTAACATGAACATATGCAAAGTTAACATCTAGAGTTAACATAGGGTTAACACGGAGAGTAACATACCGTAGACAATTAACACGAAGAGTTTAGCATACACGGTTAAAAATGCAGAGTAAAAACAAGTTGATAAGAAATGTGTGAACCATAAATAATAATAGGTTCTGTGTGGGGGGGGGGGGGGGGGAGAGAGAAGAGGGGTACATTGTGGGGGAAAGGGGGTATAGGGGAATTCGGACTTTTTTGAAGACGTATGACAGGGGGGGGGGGGTATTTCAGCTTTGGTAAACGTAATATCAATATATCAAATCTTGAACCGCCTTAGCTAATATTTTAGAAAGACGTAGCTGCTAGAAACGAAAGATTTCAATGAGAGTTACAGTGATGTAATGACATGAATTACCCCCCCCCCCCCCCCTCCCCTCCCCCAGCCTGACAAAATAGGATGGTAGCATACAAAGGGAGACTTGTAACATCCTCATAATGATATTTTTACCTCATCAGACATACTCTATAGCTCAACACATTTTGATGTTTAAAAACCCAACGCTTTCTACATTTTGTTACAAATTTTTTTCTTTTGTTATTCCATGACCCTCTCCGGAAAGAAAAAAAGATATTCTCAAACGGACGGAAGTAATGTCTGAAGAAGAAAGATATATTGGAACGCGCTTGGTCACACGTGTTTAATTAAATTAGGGTTTGATTGAAAACTGATTATTTCCTTGATCATTTAAATATAATATGCGATACATTTTGAACTGCGAAGAGCATTTTTAAAAATGTAGCATTTTTAAACGTGCATACTTTTAAAATTATAGCTTTCTTGAGAATTTTTCAAGCCACTTTTTTCCCACTTCACCAAATCTATACATCAAATTTTTTTAAAGTTCAGACAACAATGGCGCGGCCGGTCATTAATCATTCGTTAATTACGGAAACAATTACTGTAAAATATAGTCCTCCCAAACGACAATTAGCCACCGTTAGAGCATGCATATTTTATATTTAATTAGCGAGGAGCGACAGGTTCTCATTACACGCGCTAATGATCTGTGTCTTAGTGCCTTGCTCGTGAGCGCCTCGGGCCCCTCGATGTCTCACACACGACAGCTGAGCGTTTGTTTTTGTAGTTAACACGTTTATGTTTTACAGCCAAATGTTATTTTCAGATGAGTAGTTTTTTTTTGTTGTTGTCGGCGTTCAAGCTTGTTTAACATCAAAGCGAACATGTTTATGTGTACATCAAATTAACTACCGTCAGTGGCGTAGGCAGAGGGAGTTAGGGGGGGGTCGTAACCCCCCCCCATAGACCCCTCGGTGTATATATATATATATATATATAAACCATAAGGGGGGTGAAAATCGAAATTTTGAAGGAGGGGTGCAAATCGAAAGTTTGAGGGGGGGGGGGGGTGCAAATCGAAATTTTGAGGTGGGGTGCAAATCGAAATTTTGAGGGGGAGAGTGGAAATCAAAAGTTTGAGGGGGGTGGGTGCAAATAAAAAATTTGACCCCCCCCATGAGACGATCCTGGCTACGCCACTGACTACCATGATTATATTTCAGCCAAACGTATTTTTAAAACAAATACTAACTTTCGGTTCACAGCTTGACTTTTTGTATTTTTAAAACATGATCTAACTTGGTTAGTGCACAGCCTGTTTGGAGTTAGCCAGTAGTGTTTAGTAAACTTCCCTGAGTCCAGCCAGCTCTGATGGGTACCTAACTCACGTTAGGGAAAGTAAAGGCGGCTGGGCATTGTGCTGACCACACTATCCCTTCATATGCCGAGGTCACAGAAACAAGTGAACTCTACTTCACTTGCCACGTCAGGTTTGAAAGGGAACTTTACTAACTTACGTAAAGTTGTGTTTACAGTCTAAAACTTTTTTCTTATAGTTAGTTTAAAGCCTGTTATTATAAAGTTTTTTTAAATACATGTACTATTTTTGCTTGTTGTTTTTTGTACAAATGTGGTTGTTAATGTAAAATTTCTAATAATAAAACACGGTTTTTATAGTAAAATTGCCATTACATTTTGAGTCAATAAAACGTAGAAATAAAACTATTTGAACGATTGTATACTCTGAAAGAGTATTTTCACAACCAGATAATATCCAAATGTGATAAGTACTGAACATAATGAACATCATAATCATGGCTACATAAAGTCATGTATATGTATATCTGTATATATACGCTTATCAAGAAAGAGGAATGGATAGTAATAAGATGGAAATGGCTTGTAATCAAATCACATATTTTATCGATAATTTTTTCTTAACAACACAACGTACAAGAATGGATATACAATGGATATAAAGTAGCATACACTGATTTCCTCCACTATGGGGTGTTGTTGAAGTCATTATATGTTATTATCATCACACACGTGTAGGAAGGAATGAGGGAGTTGGTTGAACATGACACAGTACAATACAATCTTACAGCGTTAAACTTTAGTGATTGCTCAACAGTGACTGCCGTACTTTAGCCTCCTCATCGACCTCATCACCATCAGTACTGTCGGCGCCGAAATCCTCCAGCTGGCAGTCCCGGGGCGAGCGTGACGCCACTCTGCTTCCTCTGCCGTAGCGTCTGTCGTCAACAGGATCGCCCTCCTCCTCATCGATGGAGTCTGTCGAGAGTCTGTTATTCATCAGGGAGTATTTGTTTTTTCTCTCGTTACTGTCGAAGGTACCGTTCCTCTTGGTGCCGCCGAGCGAGTTCCGTTTGTTCAAGAGCGCTTCTGTTTCTGACGGGGTTGTCAGTTCTTGAATTTTCGACGCCCGGTTGCGCCCGTTGCCCATGAACATATCCCCGCTGATGCCGCTGTCGCGCTTGTCCATGCTGCCCATGGTGATGAAGCTGGCCGGCGACTGGCGCCGCTCCATCAGCCGCATTTCGCTGTCGCTGTCGAACCTGGAGGAGGAGCCGTCGCTCAAGTACGAGCTGAGCGTGTTGT